GGCTGCGCTTGTATTTAGAAAAGGGTGATAGCGGTGACTGTGAGGTTCCAGACCCCCGTCCCCTATTCCTCGTTGTGGATTGCAGCCCCCACCCCAACTTCTCTTCCCCCCCCCCCACCCCGCAGCCGTCTGCAAAGGAGAACCAATCCACATCCTTCAACTCTTTTGACATCCTGCAGATACTCATGGGTGGGAATGGGGTACCAAAGTGAAAAACTCCGCTCCTTTGTGTATTGTGGGGGGGGGGGAGCGCGCGGAAGAGAGCCAATATAGATGCAGGTAGCTCATGAAGGATGTCCTGAAAAGTTGCGGGTAAAAGTTCCCCAGAGCCAAGGCAGGCATCGAGTGGGAGACACTAAGGTGAAAGTGAAAGGAGCAGATCGGCACTGCTTTCAAAGGGGGGGGGGACACTGACTTGCAAATGCGCCCGTTTCTAAGACAGCCCAGGCAAGTCCACTTCAGAAACACGACTGGGTTTCCACGTTCCACAGATAGAGTCCTTCTCACGTGTCTCTTACACTCATTCTTCAAAGCGCTTATTATGCTCAAGCCTAACCCTGGGTTCAGAAAGCGGAATGGCTGCCTTGAAGTAACTCCTTCGCCTGATAAGTTGGTTCATGCTACAGTAGTTGGGTGTTGGGTGTTTCTAGGCTACTGATAACTGAACCCATGTTATAGAAGCCCATAGGAATAGCACGAACAGGTCCCATGTGCATCACCCCCCCCCCCTATGGAAACCCACACACAGATATATTCACAGCCCTGCACCACTCAGAATGTGGGGGTATGAATTGGGGGAAATTCATTGGTACAAAATCTAAGGTGATTCTGTGGCTTGACGGAGAAGGGTGATCTAGAAACGTAAAATATAAATCAATCTTATTGGGTTTCATGGCAATTCATGGAAGGGCTATTCACTGCAATAACTGCCCTTTCATCAATTTCAATGAGCAACGGAGTACTGATGCTGGGGGATGGTTATTTTAGTAATGTTCTCCAGTTGGGGAATATCAAGATGACCAATGACCAATCTCCATGCCATCCCTTGATCCTTTTGATTGGATGTAACTCAGTTAATCCTGGGATTTCTTAACCCACAGAGAGACTCATGCTTCTAACTCTCTCTCTCTCAGATGTGTGAACGACTAACTTTCTCCTGGTCTTTCTTGTTTGCTCCCTTCAGTAGTCCAAAGTCCACTGTGATGCTATAAAATAATGAATTTTCCCTCCATCCCTTTTCCACTTTAACGTTTTTAAAATAACTCGCAATAAGTGATTACAGCTTTTCAAGGATGTTACAAGGAGTGGGAAGGAATGATCAAAGCAACCCAGGATGTGGAATTCAGATTTCACTGACGTTTAATGAGATCTGGTCTTTGAACATCCACAACCCAATTAATCAATTACTTTACCAATACTGGACATTAAGACATTAAACTGGAAGACATTGGGGTGTGAGCAGTAGTTTGCAGAGGTGTAGGGAGCTGCTATTGGCAGGATCCAGGTTAATATTAGTTGTTTGTAAAAGTTTTTTTCCTTGTAAGTCTTAATTACAGACTGCCAATGTCTTTATTTATGAAATACAAGGAGAACAATTCACAAAGCATTTTAAACACATTTTTTTTGCCTTTTATGTCTTATATATCTTATTTATTCTTTTTGTTACAACCTCATAAACAGACTATTGCTGTTCTCCCCATATTGCCAGTTAGGAGAGGCAGAGACTGCTCTGTGTGTGTGTGTGTGGTGTGTGTGTGTGTGGTGTGTGTGTGTCTTTGAGTCAGTTTTGATTCCTGGACAAGTCAATTTTGAGTCCTGGACAATTTTCTTGGCAAGGATTTTCAGAAGTGATTTGCTATTGTCTCCTTCCTAGGGCTGAGAGTGTGTGACTGGCTCAAGGTCACCCAGCAGGTTTTACGTCTTAAGGTAGAACTAGAACTCACAGCCTCCTGGCTTCTTGCAACTACAACAAAGTGGCTCTCTGCAAAGACTTGAGTTGAAAGTTAATGGCTTGGCTACTAGGCAACCTTTCCAGTATCGGGCAGGGGTTGGAGGCATAATTTGCAGCTCATTCTCTTAGATGCCAACCAGAAGAGCTAATTAGCAAATTAAGAATGCATTGTTTTGTGCAATGGGTCTTAAATTCCCAAATAAGTGAGAATGCACACTAAGTGCCTTGATTGTTATTGATGTTCATGGAATTCATATGCTTACCTTGGTATTTAAGCCTCATTCTCTTTTGGTGAGACAAAAGCATGGATTAACATGCTCTGATCTTTGTAATCTGACTGTAGTTTAGCTAAGAAGCAGGAGATGGCAGAGAAGTATTCCACTCGGTCCCACAGTTACCTGTTTGATCTTAGTGTCTCAACTTAAATATGGAGGATTCTGGGTCCTTGCTTAAGCATGATTTATAAATGAACTATAATTAGCTTTCCCCCCCCCCCTTTCTGTTCAATAAGGTGTGTTTTTTTAGGGATTGCTTGGGCAAGTCCCTGTGGTTTTCTTGGCAAAGTTTTTCAGAAGAGATTTGCCATTGCCTCCTTCCTAGGGCTGACGGAAAGTGACTGGCCCCAGGTCACCCAGTTGTGGCTTTGTGCCTAAAGCAGAACTAGAATTTGTGATCTCTAGTTTTCTACCCTGATGTTTTAACTACTAAAGTGGCTTTCTAGGATCATACAATAAACAGGGTTTGGAACTATAGTTCTGTGTAAATTTGCTAACAATCAAAAGGTATTCAGTTTAACATACTCCTCCAGTAAATCTTGAGCCTCAGTGATGAACATTAAGTGATGAGAATATTGGAAGAATATGAAGCTTTGAGAACAAGTTTGATCTAGTGGTTAAGGCACCAGGCTACTCTCTTTTCATTGACCACTAATTTGTCACTTAGTTTAAGAACTGAAAACTTTTAGGAAAAGTAGCATGACTAGATTGGTGAATGTATGGATCTTACAAACTGCACTGCGTACAATCATCTTTGAATGCAAACAGTCAGAAAAAATAATTCCCCAAGTTTGATCCAGGAGAGGAGACATTATGTGAATAAATACAATAGTATCCCAATTACAAATCTGAACAGAGCCGAAGATTCTTCCAACACTACATTTTCCTTCATAGATTTTATTTCTCATTGAAATGTCTTCCTACATGATATTTTTGGAGTAGTTCTGGAATCTATGCTAACATTTCAAAGTGTGAACTTTATTTTGTAATTACTATCCTTCTGCTGTCTTCCAGCTTCATTCCAATTTGGAGATCACTGGGACTTCTCCTTTGACATGACTTCCATCTCCAGCAACTATGATATCAGGCTGGCACAGCTCCGGGTTCATCTGCTGACCTTCTCTCAAACTAGAAATATCACTGTGCACATTTATCACAGCCACAACCACACGTGTTATGGGAATCAGACCTGCACAGATAGGATGTTCCTAGGTTCGTTTGTGAGTAGCCTCTCCCTCAACCATTCACCCTGGAAAGTCTTCAACATCACTGGCTTATTACATTTTTGGCTCCACCAAGGGCTGCCATCAGGCATTGAGATTCCAGAAGTCCCACAGGAAGACTGGGAAGAGGGGAATATATTTGAGGACAATAGTAACCCAACAGCTGGTGCCTTCCAGGATAAGCATGTCCATAATAATTCTAGAGAAGACAAGAAGCATTTTGTCCACAATGGGCCTGACAGAGCACTCCTGGTGATCTTCTCCAAAGATAAGGAACCCATGGAGCCTTCTCAGGGTTCAAGTCTCATTAAAACCGTAGAGATGTCCAAGCATGTTCTGTTTGACAACACGACTAAAGAAGCTGGAGGACGTCGCCATCGTAGGAACAGGAAACAAAAACAAAGAATTAAACTGAGCTCTCTCCAATCCTCCAAATGGGCGGAGGAAGGCAGATTTCTATGCAAAAGAGTCGATATGATGGTGGATTTTGATAAGACTGGCTTTGGAAGCTGGATTGTACATCCCAAGAAGTACAACGCATATCGATGTGAAGGAGAATGTCCATCACCTGTCGATGAGACCTTCAAACCAACAAATCATGCTTATGTTCAGGTATGAAGGAGCGTGTGAGAGACCATGGGGGGGGGGGCTTGGTAGAGTAATACTTCCCAGATCTTTGAAAAGGAACTGGAAAAGCAAGCTTTTACAAAGCAGTAGTAGAGTGGCCTTTGTCTAAGATTATGCACATGCTAGTTTATAACATAGATTCACATTTAGAAGTTCCACTTTACCTTTAGAAGTAAGAAGCCCCCATGTTGCTTTGTGAAGCAGATTTTAAGGATGTTTTGTTCAAGCTTGTTCAATGCAAAACACATCATTGAAGATCTGCAATCCACACCACTCAACATAAATAAAACCAGAACAACCATTCATTGAACAAGTAAAGTTTGCTGGAAGAAATAAAAGATCTTTTCCCATTGATCATACTGAATAAAAATACAGTTGTTGGTTTGATTGGCATAGCTGTCTAAAAATGGAATATAGGACTCCACTTTTGATGGCTGAGCCTTCTGAATGTATTGGTGATTCCTCATGTGGATCAGAGTCCACCCAGGTCAATTCTGAAATCATGACAAATCAGGATTGGGGGAATCCTTGGTGCTCTCTAAGCTTGGTTGTTTTCTTAGAGACCTTTCATTACCCAAACTAGGTAACATCATCAGATTAGCACTGATGATGTTACCTAGCTTGGGTAATCAGATGTCTCCAAAAAACCCACCAAGCTCAGAGAGCACCAAGGACCCCTTATTTTAATCCTGAGCTACAAATATTCTCTTTTATTGAAATCAGGATCTGCCAGTTCATAATAGCAAATCCTCTTGATCTCTCTTGGATCTACTCTTACAGACGATGCTCATGATTTCCTCTTCTGTTTCCACAGAGCTTGCTGAAGGTATACCAACCTAACCGAGTGCCTTGCCCATCCTGTGCTCCAATCAGGCTAAGTCCATTGTCCATGCTGTATCACGAGAAAGGAAGAATAAGGGTCCGTCACCATGAAGACATGGTAATTGAAGAATGCGGCTGCAACTGATGCTTATGGGCTATTGCTGGCTGACTAATGGGAGCCTTCTGCAAGTAACTTCCCATTACTGCGTATTTTATGGCAGAGGGCCAAAGAAGTTTTGCTGGAGAAGCACATTCCTCAAGAAGCATATTCCTCGGCACACAGAGATCAAGTTGTTCTTCTAAAGTCTTGTCCGCAGCATCCTTACCAGACCAGGAGTTGAAATAGGCGCATGGGCTTGTTAGCTTGCCTCAGCCATTTGATAAGTAAGATACATGCAACACTCACCCTGCAAAAGAGCTTCACCAACCACTTCTGTTTTTGCAAGAAAACTAGATTTAAAAGCCTGTTCAAATTAAATAAGGATGGCCAATGAAAACGTGTAAGACTTTATTAGTACACCGAGAGTCTATTTTAGTGGAACCTTTCTAGGATCTCTTAATACCTGGAACTTATTCTGCCAGATAATGGAGCTGTGATTCCCCAACCCTAACCCCAAAACACAGTATTTGTTCTACAGCCTACCATGTTGGGTCACAAATATGGCAGTTGTTTTAGTCAAGGATTCCTAAGCTTTAAAGATTGTGATGCCTTCATACTGATATTGTTCCGAGGATCATTTGCTGGGGAATAAGTGTGCAAAGAGGTTATTGGTTTTTGTTCTGTTTGGGGGCTTTTTAAACTATCTGTTGGGCTTTTTAAAAACATCCAATGGGATCATTTGTATGCTGGATCTCTTGCAGAAGTCCTATAGCTTTAACTTTAGGCAAGGGATCCTTTCAGAAAGTTGGCATGAGTCAATGCATGGGGGAAAAAAAATATGTTCCTGCATTTTGTCTATTTTACCTCTTTCGAACCAAGGAGAGAGAATACGTGCTTTTGAAATTTCCCTTAAAGGAAAATAAAATTTCCATAACATTCTAGGAGATGTAATATGATGTTCTTGCACTTGATTAGTTACAAGATTGTTTTGGGTCAATTGGGTGAATGTACTTGTTTTTATTTTTTATTTTAATCATCTCTCCAGAAATCTTTAGCTTTATGTGCTTGAATTAAACGGCAAGGGAATCCCTCACCATTCATATGGGACTTTTATAATTTGGGAAGCAAGTGTGGCCAGAGAGAGGTTACAAATTAATGAAGCCACATGTCACAGGGAACAAGGATACGAGCTATAACATCCTCTGATTTCTTCCCCAGTCAAGCTAACAGAGAGATCTTGATCGAGAGAAATCCAGAAGAAATTCTCAATCACTGTTTCAAGTGACTGAGAACATATTCTGAGAAATGAGAGGCAGATATTGGTACAACATTCATAGGAGTTCATATATTTATTTTAACCTTCTACACTTCAATGGACACATCAAAAAAACTCTACTTGTTTGAGAGGGAGTTTCCTGATAGTTAGAAACAATTAAGGAGGGTCTAGATCAACTATATGTATTTGGACAGGATTGTTGTATGGGCTGTATTTTAATTAATTCGGAATAACCAAGGGTATAGTAGTTGGTGCTGGTAACAGAATCTGTAGTAACAAAACATCAGATTGTATCGTTGACATCATTGCTCTAAAATAAATGCCAAGCAGAAAAATAAAAGCTGCTTCTTGTGTTTTGATAATAACTTAATTTTCATCATCATGAATGGGTATGTAAATATCATAATGTATTTTAAGAAATGAAACTCAATATTTTAAATAAATAAATAGATGAGTCCAAGAATTATAAAATAAAAATAAAAAACAACCAGAGAAAGGTGAGCAAAGATTTGTCAACACACATACATGGCTATGGACTCTAAAGGAAAAATGGAGAATTTTACATCTATATTTTCAACCTCTCCACCCCATCTATCCCTGGACTTTGAAAAAGGACAAAATGATGGTGGACTGCTGCATTATGTTGTCCAATAAAGAAGTACAGCTCAATCAACCCTGGACCATCTCCTGTAACATATTGCTGGAAAAAGGAATCGTATTTATTTCCTTATTTATCACATTTATGAAGTGCCTATCTCCCTCCTAGAGGGATTCTGGGTGGTGTACAATAAATCTAAAGAACTCAGAAGCTTGCAGATCCTCTGGTGCTACTTTTGCTTGATTTTAACAAAGATCTTATCCACCTGTGGATTTTTAGAAGTCAATTCCCACTTGAATTTTCACAGAACAGTAAAGAGATGGATGGACAGTTTGTAACCCCAGAAATATATCAGAGATCCTTTTCAGCCCAACAAACCAGGCAGTTATTGTGGTAGGGCTGACACTAGAAGAGAGGGTATTTTTAAACCCCCGTTAACTTCTCCTGGAAAGGTAGGATAAGAATTAACAAGCAAACCATAGAGTACCCGTATGCTCTCACTCTTCAGAATAGACATATGTACAGGATCCAGTAGGGTAGACCTTGTGCTGCATGGTGTCTCATGTTCCCCACCCTGTTTAGAGATTTAATCTCTCAGAAACTGCAACCGAACTTTTTACAATGACAACCCAAGCAACATCTTCATCCTGCCTTCCAAATTAGAAAAAAAAAAAAAACCACAGGGATTTTGTTTTTTTTAACAGAGAACTTATAACAAAAGATAGAAATTCATTCTAGACTATAGGACCTCTGGATCTTATACTCTTTCATAAACAGGCATGGCAAGCAGCTGTCTCCCCACACTCTCCTTTGAAAGATGGAGAGTATATTTCTCTTCCTTTTGGGACATGGCCTTTGATGGCAAGTCTGAGCTCTTTTGTGTAATGGATGTTTGTTTAAGCAAAAAGGATCCCCAGCTATCCCAGGGGAGTCTTCTTATCATCTTGCAAGGTGGCGATTCAGACACTGGGATCCAATCTGCATTATGAGGAGGAAAACGATCATTCATGCTTCTAAACTGCTAACTGCCCTGACGAGAAACAAGGTAAATCAAAGGTCACTTCACATCCCTACGGTTGGCCAAGGAAACTGTGTGAGTAGGCTCCCCTAAATGTTTTCCCTGCATCAAAACTATGGGTCTCCTCTGCATTTTTGTCATACAATGTCTGGAATTTGGTCCCTGCCTGAAAAAAAGAAAAAAAAAAAACAAGAAAAAAACCCCTTTGCATTACGAAAGTGCCCATTTGTGGATGGAAATGTCAAGCCCAGAATTTATGGAGCAAGATGGTTTGAAACCTTGGCATCAACCTGGAGAAAACCTAAAGTCCAGCTTCTTTAACGATCCTCAAAAAGAAGTTCTTTGAACATCCAGTTGACTGTCCACCCCTCCACCCACTCTACACATGTTCCCCAAGGTATACATTACTGTACATTTGTCATTCATGGGAAACACAGAAGGAAGGATGAGAGAAAAAGTAGGACCAAATAAATCTGTGGCATCACAGAGGGAGAAACCAACAGAAACAGTCTCAATAAATCTTCACATAAGAATCTGTATGTTTGCCTCCTCCACTTGATGCCTCCTAATATACCACAGAACCATTCTCATTGGCCATGTTGGCTGTGGGGGGGAGAGGGGAGAAAAGACATGGAGGAAATTGTGGTTCAGCTAGGCTGGAGAAGGCTGTACTAGAAGGTCCATTTCAGCCCCTGTCCTGAATCCTTCCATTACGCCAGAGGATGAAATCTCTAGCTGCTTCCTCTAACTAGGATTTTTTTTATCTATTAATATTGTGTGGTCCATCCTTGATGCTCCTTCTGAACTTCTCGACATGCTTTCTGGAGATTAATATTTGGCAGGAAGGGGCCATCTTCTGAGCATAAGGATATGTATGTGTTTGTGTGTGTGTGGGTGTGTGGGTGGTATTTTTTTTCTAGTGGTGTGGAGATCATTGCCATCCAATCCACATTTGCCCATGTAGATAAACAAAGCTTGTCTGGGTCTCACCCCTGAGGCTAGCCTCCAAGCCTGGAGGAATAGCACTGGCCTCATATGCAGACAAAGTTTCACACTGCTGTGACCCTACAGCAATTAAAGGGTGACTAGAGACTCATTTGCAGAAGCTGTTGCCCCAAACGATTCTCAGAGAGGAGTGAACCTAAGTTTTCTTCTCCCTCCTCACGTTAAGCATCATCTACCAAGGGCAAAGACATATGTGATACGGTGATTTAAAGAAGAAGGCAGGCTATGATGCCACCCACCTTGCCAGCCCAGGAAAAAAAGCTAAGCCACACCAGTAGATCACAGTGATTGGAGGAGCCCATATGTTTCCTTTTATCTCCAAGGTGGTGGTGGTGTTAGTTGACACGGTCCAATTCCAGTTGGTTTCCATTGGGTACAAACATGTTTTCTGAGCAAGTGGGGGTCAACCATATGATTTGAGAGGCCATAATTTCAGGAGTTCAAGCTGATTCTTTCCAAGATGAAAGTCCCAGTTTCAATCCATAGCATCTCCAACTCAATCCAAGATAGAATCCTATCTAGAATTTTGAGATGGTGCTTATGCTGATGGGGGGGGAGTGATGGACGTTGTAGGTCAACATAACTAGAGAGCAGTACAATTGTGGAAAGCAGTGTAGACAGTAACAAACTAGGATGATCAGTAGTTTGACTTGGTCTAAAGAATGTCCTACATACTTAAACTACCAATGTTTCAAAGACAATATTGAATTATTCCTACTGATCTTAATCTCCTCATTTATTGGAAGATGAAAAAACAGCCTATGTTTCTACCACACTTGTGAAGTCTCCCAGAATGGAGAAAGCTGTACTAGGAATGCATTTTGTGTGGTAGAACGCTCCACCAATTGAGTTCTGAAGAGCTAGAGTCCACACAGAGGTTTACTTCTCAAGAAGACTTGACAACTTTCTTGAAGACTGAGTCACTGAATTTAGTCCTCTCTGGCTAATATCAAAAAATGCTAATACGAGTCAGAGCTGGTTAGTACTTGGATGGGAGATTACAGGAAAATCCCAGGACCATCAAAAACATCAGGAATGTGGCTAAAAAAAAATCTGGAAGAAAGAAATAACAAGCCACATCTGTATGATTACCAAGAAAACTACATGGATATATCATGAAGTCAACAGGAGTAAAGCTCTACTCAAAG